TAAGGGTGTCCCTAAAGGAGCTACTCAGCTTAATAATTATATCCAAAAATTCTAAAAGTATTCTTTTGTCTGGGCAAATAAAAAATCTAAAAATTATTGTTACATGGATTCTCCTAATTCCTTTAACATACTGATTTAAACTATATATACGCGTAAGGTGCGATAGGACTTATGTAGCTTGATAATATTGTACCCCTTATCCCAACTTCGCAAAATTTTTGGAGGAGTTTAATAGAGGCAGTGATTATTTATTCTTCATTTTAATGAAATTCCTACACGTATTACAAGTTGAATCACATAAATCTGTGTGATCAATTAAACTTATTTTAATTGTAAATTTGTCCAATTAAATAAATATTGTAAATAGATTCGGGTATTACTTAGAACTCTTTTTAAGTAGTTTAGACTTTATAGAGCCCAATTGCTTGCTTTAGCTGTAACATTACAACTATTGTGGATTAGAAAAGATAAGGGGTGTATAATTTAATCCAAACAATTTGATGTTTGTTTTGGACTGGATTGAGCTGTGTTTATAAAACTGGACAAAAAGTCCATTTTTAATATAGGGTTAGATCAGTGGGCCCATCTGGCCCAAGTAGAGTTCGAGTATGTGACACATAAAATGATAAGAAGTTCGTCTTAGAGCACGAGAAATTATTAGATGTCCTGATCTATCACTTGGTGGCATTTCTTAAATTTTGACTTTCAAATTAAGAAAACGACCTCACATGTCCAACACATGTCAAATAAATCAAGATCATCTAATAATTTCTCCTTAAAGCACCTCATAATATTCCTTCGGACATATATTTCTTCGGACATATACAGTCCTCCGTCTTACATGCACCAAACAATTACCGAAAAAATTCCCTAAGAATGATCTCAAAGGAGCTACTCAGCTTAATAATTATATCCAAAAATTCTAAATTTTATTCTTTGGTCAGTTCAGTAAAAAAAATAAAAAATTGATTTGTTTTTGACTATTCAAACAGGTTTAATATTCTCTTAGCAATTGATTTCTTTTTATAAAATAATTAGCATGTTTTCTAAAGTCATAAGAAAACATTTTAAATGTTATAGCAATTTACAACTTTTGGAGAGAAATGAAAACACAAATTGTATTATGTGGTCCGTACAATGTAATAGTACTGCTCACTACACGACAAAATTGTAGATGGGAAGGGTTGAATGAATCATCACTGACACAAAATGGGACCCACATTAATGTAATATTTAATTTATTTTTTGATATTTAATATTCATATGAACTTATTTAAAATAATGTGTCACCTCCACATGTGAACTCAGTCAATGGTCATTTTTGGAATAGTGCCGAATTAATCTTATAATACTTTAATTATAGAACTTCTGAATTTAAAATATTGTAATTAGTGACAATTTATTTTCAACTTTTGGATTCTTTAAAGCAAAAAATAAATTGGTTGTGGTGCAAAAATTTATAACCTCACGAGTCATGTCCCTTGTTTTAATATAAAATTTTGGACTAATTTATAGTCAAACATGGACTAATTATGAATTTCTTAAATTCAAATGTCAGGATTGCACGTGAGGGAGTTCAATTTCACGTGCAAGTTTGCTTCTATTCTAGTCTCTTATCTATTTATTGAGGTAAAATTTTACACTTGTACTCTATCATAAAAGACAAAATAGTGTTGGTAAACATTTGCTTTAATTTAAATTTTTTATTTATTTTATTATTACAATTGAAGAAGTGCTAGAAATTTCATTAGGAGATATTTAGAGTCAAAACCTGATACTCTAAAGTCTACTGAAGGCAGTAACTCACTAAATTATCGAAACATCTGCTTTTGTTTCGACTATTAACTCACTTAGGTATTTAAAATTTGGAGTTAAAAAATTCAACAATTTGTTGAAATTGTCCGTTTAATTTAAGTAAGTGAACTGATGTCATTAATATTTTTAACATTATGATAATATCGACTACTATTTGTGAGTCGTGTTAAAATCTCTATTGAATTATTTTTATTTCGAATTTTCACATCTATTCTGCATAGCACAACACACAGTATTAATATAAAATTAATCAAATTTGTATTATTTTTTGACAAAAAAAAATATCACTAAATTACATCTCTTGATAATAATTTTTTTTAACTTGCTTAATGAAAAATTAGTTGATGTAGAATATTTTTGAACCATTTATTTGAGTATTAATTAGGAAACAGAGGAGACAACAAATAGAGAAAATAATCCTTACCCATGTCATTAAAGCTTGAATAAGAAGTTGGAGGTTGACGTATTTGTTTCCAAGAATTATAGTACCCATTCCATCAAATAATAGCTAGATGCCAACACACATGTGACATGACCCTCCTTTTGTATGATTCTGCAAACAACAAATTCAACTTTCAGGATATTATAAATAATTCCTCTCAAACTCTTATTTTTGCACAAATTCTCTTTATATTATTTCAAAAATATGCAGACACATCCTTGTAGTGATGGAAAATTGAAAATTTTGAACCTTAAATCTTTATAATACCCTTCTTTATTGATTAAAAGGACCTTAAATCATTTTTAGATTCTTGAATTAACTCGTAATGCAAATGGGATATCTATATTTCGTATCATATATATACACATATAGTTATAATTTTCATGCCATCAAGGATTTTTTTTTTTTTTTTTTTTTTGGTCACTATACAACCAATGTTCTTTTTATTTTTCATTTGTTGAGGGGTAAAATTATAAATTAGGTATATCTTAATAACAATTTATCGGTTGTAAGTAGGTTGCAACTTTCAACTAGTGACTAGTTGCTTTATGGGAGTATTTGCAAAAGATAAAGTAAAAGAAGTTACCCTATAAGATACAGAATGTGCAAAAAAAAAAAAAAAAAAAGGACATTTTTTTCAAAGACTGAAATACCAAAAATGTTCTAAAAGAACATAAGAAATTTTTTTAAAAAAAAAAAAAACTTATTTCCCCAGTTATTAAGGGTATTTTTAAATTTTTATAAAATATTAATCAAAATTGACGAACAAGGACAATTTCTTACAAAATTGTAAATTTTAAAAATTTATATGCACACACTAAATAGCAAGCATCTAACACTCCATTTAGAGTGGGAAATTTTGATTTAAAAATACAAAAGGAAGGCAGTGATACAGACAAGGGATGAAAATGTGGTGGAGGTTGGCGATGCTGGTTGTGATAGAGAGGTACGGTGGTGTGGCGAGGTGGACCAGGATATTTGGGTCAATTCGTTAGTAGTACATTTGTCATTTCATGATAAATTTAAAATTATATTTACCAAAGCTATTGTTAAACACACATGCCAAAATTACGAGAGAGATCAAAGTAACAAGATTCAAACATTTCATTTCATTCATATTTAATTTAACAAAACCTCGATCTAATTTATTTATTTAATTAATTATTATTATTAGTTTTTGGATGGACTCTAGCCATGAAGCTGCAACACTAGCTCATGGAGGGTCCCAAGTCTAGTAACATCAAGCAACTGCCAAAATTAATGGCCCCATTTTGAGCTGGACCTTTTTAATGCCCTCATATCAAATGGTGTCCATTTAGAGAAAGAGTATACAACCTCATTTGTTACCCACTTTAATGGTAGTACCCAATTCAATCACTCTCCATTGTTTTTTTTTGGTCATTAATGACTCAGTGAGTGAGTGATCCAAGAGGCCAGAAGAGCACATGGACATGAGACCCTAGCTTAAACCTTTGACTAGGTTGAAGAAACCAAAGCCCCAACAAAGCATCACAATTGGATTTGTTTTATGTTCACTATCTGAGCATATGTGGTTACAAAAAGTGGTGGTTTAATTTAGTGGATGGATGTGTATTAAGGGCGTGTTTGGTACATATACAATATAGTAGAGTAATAAAAATGAAACATGGACTGAGACATTGGAGTAAGTACCAAAGAACAGAAGCAAGTGACAGTATTAAACTTGAAAAAGCATTTTAGGTTGAACTGCGTGCGCACGTGCATACACGTGTGTGTGTGTGAATGTGTAGGAACTCACGCTTGCATATGCACACGTGCATACATGTGTAAATGCATGTGTGTGTGTAATATGGTGTGTGTGTGTGTGACGGACAGAGAGTCAAACTGCAGCTTATCCAGTCATCCCAGACTTCTCAGTATCACCTCAGAGAGGAACCAATCATAGTACGAAATCTGTAGTCTTAAGCAACCCATCAATGGCTGTAACATTTAAAGAATAACTACAATATAACACTGGAAGGAAGTTAGGGTTTATTTGATTTAGTTTTTAAAAATAGTTTTCAAGAATTTTTAAAATTAAAAAAAATTATTTTTACAAAAATTATAAAAGAAAGTTTAATAGGACACTCTTGTTTTTATTATTTATATATATTTTTAATTAATTGAAATTTCAAAAAATTAACTAAACTAATTTTTGATTACCAGAAAACAAAATGCTGTTATCAAAGTTCTTTAAATCTTTGTAAAAATTGAGTATTATAAATGTACTTTTTTTATAAAGTATTTTAAATATGAAACCAGAATAGAAACCATTTTAATGATGAATGCGCGTTAGTCTTGATGGTATAAGTTCTTCTCATTTAAAGAGAGGTTGAATGTGTATGCGTTTGCTTTTCAATTTACTGTCAAATCATGAAAGAAAAGATAATGAGCATTTTTATTGTGTATGTATTGTGTGTATATATATAATAAATTATATATATACAAGTTCTTCGCGTTTAAATTAGAGTTGAATGTGACTGTGTATGCCTTTACTTTTTCATTACTGTTAAATTGTAAAAGAAAATATAATGAGCATTTTCACTGTGTATGTATTGCGTGTGTATATATATAAATTATATATATATAGAGAGAGAAAATGAGTGAGCACAGCATTGCTGCAAACGGGATAGGTGTCCAAATGCTGGGAAAGCAAAGATAGACGTGTACCTAGTTTTGTTAAGAACGTACACACTGCCTCGCTGTCCACCATGTGAATGCACCCTCCTCTCTCTCTCTCTCTCTCTCTCTCTCTCTCGCCCACATGCATTACCCCCAACCTCACTCGCCATTTTGATTCATTTCACATAGTAGATGATACAACCCCAAACGGAGTGAGAGTCCCAGACAAAACCACTCCACAATATCACTCTCATTTCCTTTGTTCTTTTTCTACTTCTAACCCCACTCTTCCATAACTCTTCCATATCCATATCCTACTAACTCATCATCACACTAAATATACACACACAAACACACCCTACACTTTAGAGAGGACTGTATATACCTTGAATCAATCTATTTATCTTTTTCTCGTGCTGCCACGATTCACTGAGATTGAGCCTTCGTGTCTATATATATATATATATATTAACACCTTGTTTCTTGATAAAACAAAAGCCTAAACAATGAATGGTGTGTTAGGTCATTCAGAATGCAATAGTGGGTGTGAGTCTGGTTGGACTCTTTATTTGGAGCACTCTTGCATTCATCCATACACTTCACACAGTAGAGGCAATGAGTTTGTCAATGAAAGGGGTGTTTATACTCGTGAAGAGAAGAGATACAAAGGTGAAGATGAGGATGAGGAAGAGGACTTGTCCATGGTTTCTGATGCATCTTCTGGTCCTCCCCATTTCCATGAAGAGGAAGATTATCGCGGCGTCGAAGGCGATAACATTGGCAAAAGGCAAAAAAACATTGGCAAAAGGCAAAAAATCAAAGAACACCCTTCTTTCCTTGATGACACTGCTAGCTCTCCTATCTTCAACTTGTCCAGTGTAAGTGAACAATGTGAGATAGGCATATTTCTTGATTCTATATATATATATATATATATATATATATATATATATATATATATATATATTTCAACAGCTCTTTGATGGGTTGAATGGATTTGACAGAACAATTTCACAGTCACCAACAACCAAGCTTCAATGGACAGCATCTTAGATTTTTCACAAGGCTACTCTGCAACTCATTTTGAGGTATTTGGTCTAATTCTTTGTGGGTTTTATTTAATATGATCAATTCTTTCCTCTGAAGTACCAATGAATTCTCTTGCAGGATAGATCTGCATTCCATGGTCACTTTGGTTTCTTTCAGCCTTCTCAAAAATCAATTGTAACAAAACCAGTTAAGTTGCTCTTAATTTGATTCTTCTTATGCTAATAAAACATAATGCATATATGTTTTTTACAGTTCAAATTTCATAGTTTAAAGGCTTAAGCAATCAAACACTGTTGGAATATTGTCTTCTCTTGTGTTTATTTTTCAAATCTTACCTTTTTACAGGTGATTTGAAGGGAAGAGTTGGGAATGAGAGAGGAGGTGATCTCCCCTACCACTTCTGCTCCTATGTGTGCTATTGTGCAGAAGTTGCCGTTAGTTACTTTGAACTCTCGAATGGTTTGCAAACTCCGAATGCAGCCCAATACAAAACAAAAGGAAATGGATGTCAAATTGGATTATGTTCCTTTTCTTTTATTTTATTTTTTCTTTTTTTATGTCAATGAAGTACGAAACAACCTGAGAGCAAAAGTGGGAAATAAATTGCATGTTTTTCACTCTTTGATTTCCTTGTCAATGAGCAAATTGTTACATATGAGCTATGAGTATTTTGGGCAGTCTCTGTGTAACCATGACCATTTATGTTCAAGCCTTGAAATTCATGAAATCTTCTTGCAAAATTTATTTTAGTACTTGAGATCCCCAAAATTTGTCCAGCTAACCACATCACACAAATAAATTATATATTAGGGCTGCAAAAGAAACTATTTTTGTCACAAGATTCTCTTATAGTACTCTTAACATGTCTTAGATAAGAATTACTCTCTTTCATATTTTAGAGAGATAAAGAGCAATGAATGTCATCGACCAAACCTAAAGCATTTAAAAAATGAGATAGTGAGACTATCAATGATTCTTCAATGCCCAACTCCTAAGGACAGTAGGGCATCAGAATTTGGCTGTTTGCTATAAATATGATCCACATACAGGTTAAATATAAGTATTGATTAAGTGGGATCGTTCCTTCCAAATCTATAATGAAAATCTCTCTATTTGTAGAAGTTTTTTTTTTTTTTTTGGAATTTTTTTTGTAGAAGTTGAATATATATATATATATATATATATATATATATATATATATATATATATATATATATATTTGATTAAGGCTTTTGACTCAAATGCATGTGGACTAGACTTCAATGTCTCTTGGTGTCCAGACATGGCTCTATCCAGATTGTTTTGGTTTCTCACAATAAATCAAAGTTTAGGTTTGCATGATGCAAGTGCAATGTGTAGTCAGATAAAGAGGACAAAGATGAGGAGGAAATGCCAAAACTGATATTGTAATACTGCATATGCATCCTCATGACTCTCTTTTAAGTCCAGAGATCCTGCCTGAGATCTTCACCTATTTGCAACATGCCCCTATTAATTTAGGGAGAATTGCATTAAGTCCCCCTTGACTTGTAGCATTTTGCAATAAACTCCCTTTTTAATTTTTTTATTTATTAAAAAACCTCCCTTCAACTAAGAGGGAATTACTTTTTGACTCATTGTCAAAAATACCCACAACGGGGTTTTATGCAATTAACTCAATTATATATAATGCATAAACTCCCTCGTAAATAATAATATTATATATATTTATATTATATTATATATAATTGATCGAATTGAATAAATATCCTTGATTTGGTAAGCAAGTGTTTTAGTAAAAATTAATCCCCTCAATAGTTAAAGGGGATTTTTTTGGTAAAAAAAAATATTAAAAGAAATTTACAGTAAAAACAGGTAAAAGAGGATTTTATGCAATTTACCCATTAATTTAATATGGTCTCATGAAGGATCATATTATTTAAACAACTAAAATATTATTTGTGTTGGGATTGTTGCCCCCTTCAAACCTGTATGTTTAAAAAAGCTGTCATTGGATTTGATGTCACACACAATTATTTTGTTCTTCCTTGATTTCTTTATGCACTTAGTCCTCCTTCAAATTCCAATCTAAAAAAAAAAATTGTGGTGTCCTTTGAATGAGATGTAAAAAGAAAAGGAGAATTTAGAATGTTAAAATTATTAGATCCACCCACCTGTCCTTTTAGCAACCACAATTCTAAGATGCAGTAAATGGGAGTCTTCCATGTAGTAAATAATAATAATAATAATAATAATAATAAAACAATGTGTAAATGTTTGAGAGAAAAACTGAAGACAATGAAAACAATGTGTGTGTGTGTGTGTAAATGATGGTTGGGGTTTGCTTCACTGCAGTCCATCATGTTGGATAAGAATGTAAGGAGTATGGGGGAAACCATTTTTGTTGTACCAACAACCACCAAAACAAAGCTCTCAATCCCCTGTAACACACAAGGGAAGGGAGGGACTTTGTAGTTACTCATTAAATTAATTTCACTACCTGAATCCCAATTGAATACTCACCTAGGAGTGTCCCCATTTCTCAAGACAACAGTCTCCTCATATGCATGTGGTATAAATCAGCCTGTGAAGTGCTGTCAGGATCCATTCAGATTTGACCTAAAAATCACACCAATCCAATAGAATACTTCCAACAGAGCATACTGATTCTAAGGAGAGATCACATCTAAACATGACCTTCATTTACCTGACTGATTGAATGTCCATCTTGCAAGCAAGAAATGAAATGTAGGATATTTTATAAAATATGTGGACTTAGGTAAATTATTATATTTTGGTTTGTGAAAAACTATATTAGTTGGAATGTTTGAAGGTATAAAAATGGTACCGAACGAGCTCATTATTAATTGTGATCACTAAAGTCTATTTAGCTTGGTGAACTATATCTATTTGGGATTTTGTACGGTTAGCATGGAGGATTAAAATCCTCTACTGCGCTACAGTGTATATGTTTCAGCCAATAAGAAGAATTAGTGGTACAACTTACCAAAATGTAGGGACATTTAGCCTTGCATCCCAACATTTTTGTAATGTGCATTCTAACGTTCTCCTCACTGACCGAGACAAATGTAATGTAACATAGTAGAGGATTTTGATCCATAGTATGGAGAGGATATTGTGTGAGCCGGATATACTGCGTCATTAGTATGCCCACCAATGAAGATGCAAATGGAAATTGAAAAAAGTTATAAAGATATAACATGGAATGATATTTTAGCTCATTATATCAATAAAAATCTAAAGTTACAAAGATATAACATGGAATGATATTTTAGCTCATTATATCAATTACAATCTAAAGCACAAATTATACTTTATAGCACCAAGGTTCAGATAAACTTCTCAGTTTCCTTCCTCTACAAAGAAAGAAGAAAATAGCACAAACAAATTTATAAAGATCACAGCAATCAATTAAAATCTACTGCAATGGTAATTATTAAGACAGTACCGAAGTGTATGTATAACAAGAAGGCTCATCACTTGAGGAATTCCACCACCCACCTCTAGTATCATGTTTCTTTTTTCTTGAAGACAAAACAGAATTGATCATGTCATGAGCTAAGGCTTGTCAAAATTGATTGTTCGATGGCTATGTTCGGGTGTATGGAATTCAACTAAAATTTTTCCCGATGGAAGCTGTCTTTGAAACACATCTACCAATAAAACGTTCAATAAAAATATAAAATAATAAGGATGACTGTGAAACTTTTATAGTTAAATATGGATGATATAGAGGGCTCATGACTCTTATCACGAGGCGTTAGAGGTGAAATGACAATAGATGGAAGCCAAACAAATGTACAAAAAAAGAATATATGAAACATGATCCCTCTGTAAAACTGAAATATCTGCCATACCATTCCTCTGTTTTCGTACAAAAATTTTTGTTTGTAGTAAAATTTTAACTTCCTAACTGCAAATCACTTAATATTTTAACTTCCTAATTGCTGACAAGATTATAATTTCTGTTTCAACAATTATAGTGTCATTAATTAGAAATCCCTTTGATTTGTCCAAAAGAAAACTCAACGGCACGAAGGCTGTGTAACCCCATTCCTTGACAGAGGCACAGAACCAGCAATTTGCTGCAAAAGATTAAAATGGAAAACAAAAAAAAAATGGATTTTGGTTCAAGTTTAACAAAATAAAAATCACAAATAAAGACAAAGCTCAAATTAGTTGCAAGTTTAATCTTTTTCATGGACAGACACTCCCCTTTGCCAGCATATTTAATGACAAAAACCTCTGCTCCAAATACATAACAATCATCTACAAGGTAACCGTTCAAAGCATCCTAGAATGCATTGAGCCAAAGAAATTGGTTAAAACCACATTCAGTCTTCAACCCATGAAGGCGCGTTACTCTTTCAGCATCTACGTACAAATGTGTTTGTGTATAACTATATATGCTACATAGTTATAGGAGATTTGGAGAAAGTGTAATGAAGAAACTCTGTACCTTCTATGGCTAAATACTTATTATGTATATGATCAAAGACAGAATAATTTAAAGTTTACATTAATCTCCCAACCCGAAGGAAGATTATCTGTTTAAGATATTAGTAGGTATAGAGAAATATGTTCTTTCTCGTTTCTTTTCTTATTTCCATTTGGACAAAAAGATAATTTCCTGAAAACACGAAACGATTTACATATTATAAACTTATTTATGGAGTAGAGAACACGGAACAAATTTGAGTGTAGAGAAATTAAACTTCACACATACCATTTATAGCCGCTAGCCTCAAAATCATCTGATTCCTACTATTCAATCTTTGATTCCAAAAGTACTGAGAAAGACTCTATCTTGAATATGTAGTGCGCTGGTCGTAAATCTCTTAAAGATCTTGATACGTCAGCTGGTAATAGGAAAAACAAAGTGAATTACTTGACCTACATGTTTTGATTTATCGTCTTTACTAAATATAAGAAAGTGGAGGGTCCTACTTCCTTATATTTTGTATACATGATCAATCAAAACTTATAGGTCAGACAATTCACTTTAAATAATCGGTGTGAGAATCATTTTCTAAAGGATAAAAGATTATACTCCCTTTCATCTTAAGTGTTTATCTTAATAGCTACTACATCAGTCAATACAAACACCCTATCAACAATTATATCATTTTTCAAATCAAAATTGTAATCAATGGAAGCCAAAAGTCTTGCATCAAAAAGTTGCATGTTTCAATAATTACTCACTTTGCAATACTAAAAGTTCATCTGGAACACTAACAACCCTTTTGAACTTGATAACTCCTCAAAGTTTCAATTTGCTTTTCCAACTTCTTTTACAAATTGTTTTCACTAAATTCTCATAAAATTTGTATATATAAAATTTTAGATAATGCCCCTTTGGCTTTGATTATTTATTTATACATATTTTTTAATTATTTCTTTCTTTCTTTCTCTTCCTTCTTAACTCTCTCTCTCACTCACATACACAAACACCATGGTGACACTATTTCTTTATTTTATTTTTATATAAATTTATTTTTATAAAATTTTACATAATGCCCCTCTGATTATTTATTTATTTATAAATATTTTTAATTATTTCTTTTCTTCTTTATTTTTTTTATTCCCTTCAAATAAATTTGCACAACTTTTCTTCAATCAAACTCTATTTTTTTCTCTTTTAAAATTCTCATTTTTTCCCTTCTATATTCTTCTTATACTCATGTATGATATATGTGCAGCAAGTTTTTTATTTTTTTTATTTTTAATTCTCGTTTTCTGTTTCTGTTTCACATGGCAAATTGATGAAAAAGGTAAATAAGTAATGATTCTCCTAATGTTTCATTGTTCAAAGGCTCGAGCAATCAACACTAGTGTCTCCTCTTGTACTTAATTTGGAAGGAACAGTTGGGAATGAGAGTTGGAGGTGATCTCCCCTAGCACTTCTGTTGCTATTTGTGCTCTTGTGTGCGTTATTAGGCACTTTGGATTTTCGGATGGTTTGCAAACTCCGAATCTAAGCAATCACAAAAACAAAAGAAATTAGATCTCAAATTGGTTTTTGTTCCTTTATTTATTTATGTTTTTTATTTTTATTTTTGTTGTCAATGAAGTAGGAAACAACGTTGGAGCAAAAGTAGGAAATAAATTTCCTGTTTTTCAATATTTGATTTCCTTGTCAAAACAATAGCTACATATGAGTTGTGAGCATTTTGGATAGTCTCTGTGTAACCATGACCATGAGGACCATGAGGTCCATGATCAAGCCTTGAAATTCATGGAATCCCCAATATTTGTCCAGTTAAATACATAACAAAAAATAAATTGTTATCAGAATTTGGCTGTTTGCTATAGATATGATCCATAAACAGGGTTAAACATAAGCACTGGTTAAGTGGGATTTTTCCAAATCTATATTGAAAATCTCTCTATCTGTACAAGTAGGGGGGGAAAAAAAAATTAAAATTAAATATTGATTAAGGCTTTGACTATAATGAGGATTAGACTTCAATGTCTCTTACTGTACAGACAAGGCCATCTATCCAGATTGTCTTAGTAATCAAAGTTTAGGTTTACATGATGCAAGTTTAATTTGTGTTGGGTAATCAGATAAGAGGACAGAGATGAGGAAATGCCAAAACTGATGTTGGAATATTGCATATTGTTTAAATGATTAAAGTATTATTTGTGTTGGGATTTGATGCCACACACAATTATTTGTTCTTGATTTCTTTATGCTCTTAATTCTCATTCAAATTCCAATCTAATAAAAAAAATGTGGTTTTCTTTGAATGCATTTTTTTTTTTTTTTTTAAAAAAGGAAACTTTAAAGAATTTAGCATGTTAAAATTATTTTACCCAAAGTAGCATGGGAAGAAACATCTTCAATATTTTACCAACCACTACCAAAGCACAAGACAACAGTCTCCTCATACAAAATTGCATATGGCTTGTAGTTATTACCTTTTTAGTGGGGTGATCTCCGCACTCCGTTCAGTGCACAGAAGAGGATCCAAGTTCATAAACATACACAGCGTGAGGTGTTAACAAGATCCATTAAGATTTGACCTTAGATCACACCAATCTATGGTTCTAAGAAACATGACCAACATGACCAGCATTTATCTTTATTCACAAGAAATAATGTATTTCATCTGCTTTTTGTTAGTATAAAATGCTTGACTGCATGAATAAGTTAAGTAAATTGTTTGAAATGCTTGAAGGTACATAAAATTGACCGGATAAGCTCATTATTAACTTTGATCACTGAAGTCTAATTCAGTTTGGTGCATCATATCTACACTAGATTACATATGATTAGTATGGGATTTCCAAACAAGTGTTGACAATTTTTGTAGCAATCAATTTTTATTTTTTATTTATTTATTTATTTTATTTTTTGTAATTACATAAAGTATATCCAACTATATAGGGTTGGTCCCTACTCTCACTAGTCTTTCCATCAGGCTTAGCAATATAAGACAGAGTAGAGTAGAAGACCCTCACAGACCAAGGCCAACATTTATTTTCATATACAGGCTTACGATTATGGCAATGAAATGTCAATGGCAATTGAAAGAAGTTTTGAAAGATATACAATCTGACACAAAATGTATAGACTTTATAGCTTCAAGGTTCATATAAACTGCTCATTATATATTCCTCATTAAATATTGGAAGAAAATAGAACAAAAACAAAACTATAGTGATCAAAGCAATCAATTAAAATCCACTGCAATGCTAAACAAAAGTGATCAGTACTAATTTACTTCGTTCGTTCTCTTTGAAGACATAATTCAACACCTTTTATGTGAAGTTCTTAACAACAGACAACATTGAAATTTCTGCTTCAATAATCACAGTATCATTCATTATGAAGCCCTTTGATTTGTCATTGAGATTACTTAAAGACATGAAGAATCCGTATCCAAAGCTCCTATTCATGGCACAGAACCAGACACTAGCTGCAAACATAAATTTTGAAGGAAAATCAACAAAAAAACAAAAATAAAAATAAAAAATTCACCGAGAAGAAGAAGAAGAAGATAAGATTCAATCCATCTACAAAAGAAAAAGCTCCAGCAGTAACAGAAGTCAATCAAATGCAGCTGAAAGTACAAAATTCTTACCTTCCCATTCATAGTGTTTATCATTGACTTGGTCCCTTATCCTTAGCTTGTATTTTGCATACAGTTTGGGAGTTAATTTTTCAGAATCAGCTACTTTCAGAAACAGAGATAGCCATTTGCCTTTTCCCTCTCCATTTCCTCTAGGATAGAGCAAAACCTTCCTAAATTCATCATAAAAATAAATAAATAATAACCCACCTTAGAAATCAAATTTCGAATTGAGAACATACTACTTTAAAGAAAATATGAAAATGTTGATCATACCAATTCCGCACTCCAATCTTAAACTCCTTGGAGCATACACATTCTTCACTTAATGCTGAGAATTTCTCAACCTTCCAGGTGTAAACTTTGTTTGTTGAAAACTTTTCCATGGATAGACAATCACCTTTGACGGGACATTTCATAACAAAAACCTCTGCTCCAAATACACAGGTGTCGTCTACGAGATACCCATTTGAAGGATTTAGGAAGTCTTTGAGAGAGAGAAATTTATCAAATCCCCATTCAGTTTTCAAACAATGGAAGCGCCTTACAGGTTCAGAATCTACATTTAGAGATATGAATCTATAATTATTGTGTCGCTATAACAGATTTCAGAATATTTAATAAAAATAATTTACCTTCGATGGTTAAGTACTTGTCGTGAATGTGATCAAAGACAAATAATTTAAAGTTCACATTAACCTCCCAACCGCAAGAAGGATTATGTGTATTGGATATTACCAGGTAAAGTGAAATGTGATCTTTCCCATTTCTTTTCGAATTCCCATTTGGATAAAAAGACAATTTCCTGAAAACCCAAAAATAAATAGATCCTAATAAGTTAGTTTTAATGTAGAAATTGGGATAAATTAAGAGCATGGAAGGAGAAAAAATAAAATAAATCCAAAAACACACCAGTTATAGCCACCGGCTTCAAAAACATCTGATTCATAATTTTCGGTTTTTGTTTCAAGAAGCAAAGAGAAAAATTCTATCTTGAAAATGAAATGCGATGGTTGGACATTACGCAATGTTCTTTTAATATCTGCAATAGAGTCAAGACATAGAAATATTTAACACCACCATAACTCATTATATATAAAATCATGCAAAGGTAAAACAAAAATAAAAATTCAATTACCAGTTGCGTCAATTTTGTTAGTTGACATTTCTTCTGCTGAATTTAAGATGAAGGATAATAGAAACGTATTGTGACTTTCTTGATGATGACTTCTGCAAGGCTTGAGGTTAGAAATAAAGGACTCAATTCTTATATATATAATATATATATATATATATATATATGCATGTAGAATTCGGATTCCCATTCAACAAGAGGAGTGCTAGCGGATAGCTAAGTACTTGTCATGTATATGATCAAACACAAACATGGTGGAAAATGGTGGTAAAGTATAAAAGATTACACTCCCTTTCATCTTAAGTGTTTATCTGAATAGCTACCACATTTGTTGATAAAAACACCCGATCAACAATTATATCGTTTTTCAAATCAAAATTGTAATCAATGGAAGCCAAAAGTCTTGCATCCATAAGTTGCATGTTTCATTAATTACTCACTTTGGAATACTAAAAGTTCATCTGGAACACTAACAACCCTTTTGAACTTGACGACTCCTCAAAATTTCAATTTGCTTTTCCAACTTCTTTAACAAATTGTTTTCACTAAATTCTCATAAAACAATGCTAAAAAGAACAGAAGATTTATCAACATTCCTTAGATAATTGTAAGAGTCAAAGAGAATCCACATTCTATTGAGAGAACTGGCATCCATAATGGAGTTTATGGAATTTAAGACCTTCAAGACAGAAATCCACAGGAGCACAATTCAACCTGATTACGCAACAATAATGAATGAAAAGATGGAATGACGAAGCAGAAGTTATGAATGTTCGTGAATGAGCAATAAACAACTTTGAGTCCACAAAGTTAAGAGTAAAAGAACTTTGAAATACTATTGATGATTAATGAGTGTGTAAATCTGTTCTTGCTCATATACTGGATATTATATTTTCATAGGACTGTGCTACTCTCACATTGCTCTTTCTACAATGTTTGAGTGCATGTATAGAAACAAATGGTATTATATAGTATATATATATTAGTAAATATTTTTTAAATCATGTAAAGTAAAGGTATATTAATAGGGCTGATTACGGTTCGGTTCGGGGATAAAGTTTAATCCAATCCGATCCCCACGGATTGGTGAAATTTGTAACCGAACCGATCCGTGAAGACCTTCAATCCGAATCAAACCGAACCGTGAAATAACGGATCGGATTGGTTCGATTTCCACGGATTGGACTTTTCAAACAGCCCAATATGATTACACTTTATGACTCATTAAAATTTCAAATTAGTAATTAAAAACCTGTAACTAACTTTTTAACATATATCACCACAAACTTAAATTACCTAATAACAAAATAGAGTTGTAAATCATCCAAAAGTGAAAAGTCTTAAATAATGAATTAAAAAAATAAATAAAAATACACTAAGTATATTGTGTGTGTGTATATATATATATATATAATTAAGATAACGGATCGGATTGGTTCGGTTAACGGATCAGATCGATTTTTCTAGGGCCAATCCGTTAACCGAACCGCGAATAACGAAATGCTATTTTTTTAAACCATCATCGAATTATGAGATCTGAAAACCGAACCGAACTACACGGATCGGATTGATTCGGACCGGATTGACGGATTATTTGCTCACTCCTAGGTGTGTGTGTGTGTGTGTATATATATATATATATATATATATATATAAAGAGATAACTTTGCAGCTATGGATAAATTAGGGCCTGCTTGGTTTGTTACTCCAAAAAAATGTTCCAAAGCAGGTTTTTTTTTTTAAACCATTATCATAAATTCCAATTCAAATTTCAAAATACAAGATCACCCGTTTCTAAAGTACCCCACAACACTAGACTTTATAATCACATTTTTTTATTTTTTTGTACATCAAATAATTCTATAATTTGGTCTCTATCAAGATTCATAATTCGTTTTTCTAACCCAACAAGTGTAATGAATATAAGCCCAAAATTCGTAAATTAGTTTCTTACCTTGGAATATTGTCGAAATTGCTTTGGGAAGCTATGAAAATTCACGAACCAACAATAAATCAAATTTGAATCCACGAAGTATAAGCCAAGAGAAGTCTGAAAAATATTAATAATCAATTAGGTATTTATAATAAACAAAACCTAATTATTGCATTAGGAAACCTAAACCCCAATAAGGAAAGTGACAGCATAAGCTGAATAAGGAAACCTAACCACATAAGGAGATACAGTCCTGCATCAAAATACTAACAGCTAGGCCTTTTGTAACAACTTGTTTTCTCTTAATAATTAATTTATACAAAAACGTAACTAATTTATGATTTATTTTCCTGTATTAACAAAAAGGGTAATAAAATACTCCGTACAAGACCACAACACCTAGAGAGACAGATACAGAGAGGGGGAGAGAGAAAGTATGAAGAAAATCATAAAATTTAGGGCCTAAGACTTTGAGTAATTAGAAAAATAATAATCGACGTGAACATGAACCTTGGTTTCAAGTGACATGAATTGGCGTTTGGACTGACGATTGCTGCTATGAATCGAGGCATGGCGATGAACTTGAAGTGCTATGAAGCTCTCATTCGTGCCCATCTAGAGAGAGAAAATGTGATTGTTTTTGGCACAGATGAATGAAAGGGATACAGAGAAAGGAGAAGGGAAGGGTAGGGAATGGAAGAAATGTTGTAGATGTTTCAATTTAATTCTGTCTCACACGCACACACCATGCAGGGTCTAAATTCTTTTTTTTTTAAAATACATTTTATATATAAATTTATACGAGGACTGCTGATTGGGCACGGATGCGATTGCCCTTAGACAGTCCTAGTCTTGATTGGCTTAAAAAAAAACAACTATAATGAATGTACTGCTTCGATTTGTACGGGGCATTAAAGTCTAATTTTATAAGGTGAATTTATTCTTTTTTTTAATTGGGTTAATTTTACTACATGACATTTGTTCATATTCTCCTTACACTCTTTTTACGTTTCAATATTCTACCGACCTCTCTTGAAGTTTTGGTTTGTGTAGCAAATTGTCCCTGCCGCCAAGCAACTCACAGTGTGTTGATGTCAACATCAATAAAGTGTTAAAAAGTCAATTTTACCCTTCTAATATCTAAAATAACATTTTTAACCTCATTTCACCAATACGCAATTACAAAACTGCCCTTAATTAACTCAAGTGTACAAGAATATCCTACTTTTCACTTCAATATATATATATACATATATATATTCACATATCATTTTCTTCCTTTCACACACAAACTCATTAATTTAATTAAAAAATAAAAATTTAATTTAATTTAATTTCTTTTTAAATTTTTAATTAAATTAAAATTTTCAGTTTGCCCAGGGGTCGAGGCTTATATATTGATTATAAAATTTCATCCATAGTTGAATTTCTTACTCACTTTATGAATAAAAGATTATTACGCTATAGATATTATCCACACACTGTGTATGCATGTATCCAACCAAAGAATGATTAAATAGAGAGAAAATCTAAGCATAAACTGGCCTACCTCCACTTAAGATACTTTTTGTCCCTTGAATAATTGTGCAATGTGCATGCCACCATGTGGGTGATGTTATCCATTATATATATATATATATATACCAGAAATTCACGGTCGAGGGTTCCGGCGTCGACGATGTTGATCAACAGCGCAATGTTGGAGACACTGTAAAGGCTGGGTCCGGTCTCCCGTCGGAGCACAAGACGCTGATTTTTGCCACCGATTACGATGCCATCGAGCCTGTAATCCGACGTCTCGCCACCGAGAGACATTGATTGCGATACCATAGAGGTTGTAATCCGACACCCGCCGCCGACATCAACTTGGTCTTTAGCGTCGTCTTCCGCAATCGACTTCGCCTTCGATTCTTCGGCATCGACGTCCATTTCGGTAGTGGTGGAGGCAGAGGAGCTGACATCTGACTTCGTTTTTCTACACAGGAATGGAATCAGATTCTTGGGGTTGTGATGGTGATGGTTCGGATGGTGACAAAGTTACAGAGCTAGGCCGAATTCTTCTACAGAGCTCTGGCATGTCTATGGCCGTTTTGAATTGGGTTTCACCGAGGTGGGTTGAAAAATCTCTGCTCGCCGGACTGAACTGGGTTTGGTCGAACTTAGTTCGTTCTAGCTTTGAGAACGACTGAATCGCTGAATTGGGTATCGCATAACTGAATCACTCCGGACTGAAAAAAGAGGAATCCTTAGTTCAGTCCAAACGCCGGACTTTAACGCCGTCGAATCTACGGCCGTGTACTCACCGCCGTAACGCTGGACAAGAACGAGGTAAGCTGGATCAAAGACAACGGCGGCGAAGTTCATAGCTACCTCGACCTAGGTCAGTTCAGTTCCGTGGTCTCACTGGCGACAATGAAGAAGAAAGGGCAAAAACAAAAGAAAAAAATAAATAAATATGTGCGCGCGTGTGTGTGAGTAGAGAGAGGGAAATTTAATTTAAACTGAGGGTGTTAAAAGTGTTTTTCATTGAGTTATAAATTTTAATATATAATTCAAGGATATAGGCAAACGTCGCGCGCGCAATATATACATATACATACATATATATATATATATATATTACAAATATAAAATACAAAAGAAGAAGAATTTTTTTTTTTAATTCAAATTATACACGTTAAAGAGATGAATTTTAAGAAGTAGAAAATGAAAAGGGAAAGAAAAATGAGAAAACTTTAAAAGGAAAAATTTAAAAAATTCAATTAAGGAAGGAAAATTTAAATTTAAAGAATTTGAAGAGTAAAAGAGAAAATAAAGGGATAATTTTAGAAACCACAAAATTTAGGGGGCACCCTATAATTTTTTTCATAATATATAGAAAAAATATAAAAAATTACTACATATATTATAGAGGGCGGGCAAGGCCGGGGGCACGTGCCTCCTGCCCTTTCATTGGCTCCTACTACATATATTATAGAGGGAGGGCTCGGCCAGGGGCACGTGCCTCCTGCCCTTTCATTGGCTCCTCCCTGCATTAAACTATCTTATCTCTAAAGTTATATCATTTACAAATAATAAAAACTCAATTATACAATTTTACTTCAACTAAAATTCAGAAAGTGTGATTATTCCATCACCATTTTACTTCTCTCTCCCTCTGTCTTTACTTAAAGGGGGTTAGGATCCTCTAAGTTAAAATCACTTTACATTATCTTAAATTGAATTGTTATGATTTTAACATGTGTCATTTCACCTAAATTTAGGACTGACAATGCTCCACATAATTTAGTGATAAAAAAGATTTGAAACGACAATATTTTGAGAAAGAAAAACTATATAGATCACTTTAGGTTTCCAACTACCCATCTCTCTCTATCAGTATTCTTGGTTTTATTATTATTATTTTTTATTTTTTCATTTCATGCAATTAATTAGATTATTTGATCTCTTCACTTTTCATTGTCTTTCCTCTATTCTAATTTTTTTTGATGTTTAATTTCCCCTCACTGAACATAAAGCTAGAGAGAGGAAATAGTGGGAGACGGTTTGTAACAATGAAGAACACACTAATTTTAGGCATAAAAGACCAGAAAAAATGATTTTAGGCATAAGAGACCAGAAAAAATGAATAATTAAAGAAATTTTAGCATTTGTTAACGACGTTTCTCTGTTCATTAGTTAAGCAATTTTAGTTTTTATTTTCTATTTTTAATTTGCTGATGTGATGCATATGAGTCATAGATATGTGATAAAGGCCAAATTTCAAAGTTTTTAAAATTCAACCTAAGATAACGTAGACAAGTTTTAACTTAGAGGATCCCGATCCCTTAAACTAAACCGTTCGCTTCTATCTTTTACAAATAAACTAAAACTCTATTATAAAATTTTACTTCAAAGAAAATTTAATTCTGTAATTTACTTCAATTGAAATTTACAGTCTTTAAAATTCACATCTAAAGCATAAATAAATAATATTTAATATATAAAGGATTCATCAACATTAAGAAAAAAAAAAGAAGAAAAAGAAAAAGAAAAAGAAAAAAGAAGAAGGAAATAATGAATCCATTTAAAGAGAGAGAGAGAGAGAGAGAGATGGATGGAAGGAGGAGAAAGAATAATAGTTAATAAACAAAAGAGGGTAATTTCGTCTTACAAAATTAGATTTTTTTTTTTTTTTTTGGATGGTAAAGCAAACACACACACACTTTTTTGTCCACGTCCCGGCTCGAACCCCTTTTCTTTGAAGATGAGGTTATACCATTAGGCCAAAGGCCCTTTGGTTACAAAATTAGATTTTAATACTTCATAAAAATAGGAGCATTGTATTAATTATAGTTGCAATTAGCGGTCCTCAATTTATATTTATAAAATTTTACATAATGTCCTTTTGATTATTTATTTATAAATATTTTTTAATTATTTCTTTCTTTCTTAATTTTCTCTCACTCTCTCTCTCTACATACACGCACCATCCTGGCACTATTTCTTTATTTTATTTTATTTTTTTTATATTTAAATTTATTTTTATAAAATTTTACATAATGCCCCTATGATTATTTATTTATTTATAAATATTTTTAATTATTTCTTTTCTTCTTCATTTTTTTTTTATTCCCTTCAAATAAATTTGCACAACTTTTCTTCAATCAAATTCTAATTTTTTTTTCTTTTAAAATTCTCATTTTTTTCCCCTCCTATCTTCTTCTTGCACTCATGTCTGATATATGTGCAGAAAGTTTTTTTTTTTTTTTAACTAAAATTTTATATACTTGGAGTTTATTTGACAGTTGTTTTCTATTTCTGTTTTACATGACAAATTGGTGAAAAAAATAATTAAGTTATAATTCTCCTTATGTTTCATAGTTCAAACGCTCGAGCAATCAACACTACTGTTGAGTTGTCTCCTCTTGTACTTAATTTGAGAGGAACGGTTGGGAATGAGAGTGGGAGGTGATCTCCACTAGCACTTCTGTTGCTATTTGTACTCTCGTGTGCATTATTAGCCACTTTGAACTCTCAAATGATTTGCAAATTTCGAATTTATGCGATCACAAAAAACAAAAGAAATTAGATCTCAAATTGGTTAATGTTCCTTTTTATTTTTTTATGTTTTTTATTTTTCTTTTTATTGTCAATTAAGTAGGAAACAACCTTGGAGCAAAAGTGGGAAATAAATTTCCTGTTTTTCAATATTTGATTTCCTTGTCAATGAACAATAGCTACATATGAGTATTTTGGAAAGTCTCTGTGTAACCATGACCATGATCAAGCCTTGAAATTCATGGAATCCCCAAAATTTGTCCAGTTAAATACATAACAAAAAATAAATTATTAGGTGTGCAAAAAAATCATTTTTATCACAAGATGAAGTGAAATATCAGAGATTTATGGCACATGGTTCTCTTATATTACTGTAAACATGTTTTAGATATGAATTCTCTTTTCATATCTTCTTACTAAATTCCAGTATCATGTTAGAGAACTAAAGAGCAATGAATGTCATCAACCAACCATCCAAACTGTCAATGGTTCTTCAATGCCTAACTCCTATGTTTCAACAAAAAATGACAGTAGTGCATCATAAGCACGTCCTGGTTATGTGGGATTCTTCCAAATCTATATTGAAAATCTCTCTATCTGTACAAGTAAAAAAAAATTCTTGATTAAGGCTTTGACTATAATGAGGACTAGACTTCAATGTCTCTTACTGTACAGACAAGGCCATCTATCCAGTTTGTCTTAGTAATCAAAGTTTAGGTTTACATGATGCAAGTTTAATGGGGTGATGAGTGATCAGATAAGAGGACAGAGATGAGGAAATGCCAAAACTGATGTTGGAATATTGCATATTGTTTAAATGATTAAAGTATTATTTGTGTTGGGATTTGATGTGACACAATTAATTATTTGTTCTTGATTTCTTTATGCTCTTAATTCTCATTCAAATTCCAATCTAATAAAAAAAATGTGGTTTCGATTTCTCAAGACAACGGTGTCCTCCCTCATACAGAATTGTTATTACCTTTCTACTGGGTTTAGTACACATATGAGGATCCAAGTTCATAAGCATGGAGAACGTCGAGTGCTAACAAAATCCATTGAGATTTGACCTTAGAAGTTAGATCACACCAATCTACGGTTCTAACAGAATGAAAACGCACTTGTTAACAGGATCATATCGAAACATTACCAGTATTTATCTTTATTCACAATAAATAAGGGATTTCTCATCTGCTTTTTGCTAGTATAAAATGGTTTGACTGGATGAATAAGTTAAGGAAATTTTAACTTACTGTATCCATCCCGTAAGCAAGAGAAAAAAAAAAAAAAAGAAAAAAAAAAAAAAAACAAATTGTTTGAAATGCTTGAAGGTACATAAAATTGACCGGATAAGCTAATTATTGATTTTGATCACTAAAGTCTAATTCAGTTTGGTGCATCATATCTACACTAGATTACATATGATTAGTGTGGGATTTCCAAACTAGTGTTGACAATTTTGTAGCAATCATTTATTGTATTTTTTTTTGTAAATTGCATAAAGTATATCTAAATATATAGGGTTGGTCCCTACTCTCACTAGTCTTTCCATTAGACTTAGCAATATAAGATACAGTAGAGAGTAGAAGACCCTCACAGAATTACAAGGCCAACATTTATTTTCATACACAGGCTTATGATTATGGCAAGGTTTAAATGAAATGTCAACACCTTTTATGTGAAGTTCTTAACAACAGACAACATTGAAATTTCTGCTTCGATAATCACACTATCATTCAATCTGAAGCCCTTTGATCTGTGCAAGAGATCACTTAATGACACGAACATTCGGTGTCCCCAGTTCCTATTCATGGCACAGAACCAGTCACTAGCTGCAAACATAAATTTTGAAGGAAAATTAACAAAAAATAAATAAATAAAAAATTAACCAAGAAGAAGGAGAAGATAAGATTCAATCCATCTACAAAAGAAAAAGCTCCAGCAGTAACAGAAGTCAATCAAATGCAGCTGAGAGTACAAAATTCTTACCTTCCACTTCATGGTGTTTATCATAGACTTGGTCCCTTATCCTTAGCTTGTATTTTGCAAACAGTTTGGGAGTTAATTTTTCAGAATCAGCTACTTCCAGAAACACAGATACGCATAGAGCACAACCTTCCTACATTCATTATAAAAATAAATAATAATAACTCATCTTAGAAATCAAATTTCGAATTGAGAACATACTACTTTAAAGAAAATGTGAAAATGTGAAAATGTTGATCATACCAATTCCGCCCTCCAATCTTAAACTCCTTGGAGTATACAGGTTCTTCACTTAATGCTGAAAATCTAACCTTCCAGGTGTAAACATTCTCACTAGACAAAAACTAGTCATGGATAGACACTCGACTTTGCCGGGATATTTCATAACAAAAACCTCTGCTCCAAATACACAGTTGTCGTCTACGAGATACCCATTCCAAGGATTTTGGAAGTCTTCGTGAGAGAGAAATTTATCAAATCCACATTCAGTTTTCGAAAAATGGAAGCGCTTTACAGGTTCAGCATCTACATTTAGAGATATGAATCTATAATTATTGTGTCGCTATAGCAGATTTCAGAATATTTAATAAAAATAATTTACCTTCGATGGTTAAGTACATGTCGTGAATATGATCATAGACAAATAATTTAAAGTTCACATTAACCTCCAAACCGCATGAAGGATTATCTATTACCAAGTACAATGAAATGTGATCTTTCCCATTTCTTTTCGAATTCCCATTTGGATATAAAGACAATTTCCTGAAAAGCCAAAAATAAATAGATCCTAATAAGTTAGTTTTAATGTAGAAATCTGGATAAATTAAGAGTATGGAAGGAGAAAAAACTAAAATAAATCCGAAAACACACCAGTTATAGCCACCAGCTTCAAAAACATCTGATTCATAATTTTCAGTTTTTGTTTCAAGAAGCAAAGAGAAAGATTCTATCTTGAAAATGAAATGCGATGGTTGGACATCACGCAATGTTCTTTTAATTTCTGCAATAGAGTCAGGACAGACAAATATTCAACGCCACCAGAACTCATTATATATAAAATCATGCAAAGGTAAAACAAAAATAAAAATTCAATTACCAGCTGCGTCAATTATGTTAGTTGACATTTCTTCTGCTGAATTTAAAATGAAGGATAATAGAAACGTATTGTGACTTTCTTGATGATGATTTCTGCAAGGCTTAAGAGGTAAGAAATAAAGGACTCCATTCTTTTATATATATATATATATATATATATATATATGCATGTAGATGAATTCGGACTCCCTCAAGTTTGGCCAAATATCATATTGAATCATTTTTCGAAAATAACTATCACTAGTATTTTATAATTTGTTCCGTTTTTCACTTATACACCAAAAGTTGCTTTTCAATTGTGTTAGATACATTTTTACATGCAAAATGACATTACTACCCATTTAACTATCTGTTGACATAAGACAAATAGTTGAAATGACTTGAATACCCTTTGACCTTCATTATATAAATTTAAAATTATTCTTTATATATATATATATATTTTTCATTTTTTACACCAATCAAATTATAATTATAAATTAAAACCAACCAAATTATAATTATAAATTTATAATTATTTTTAAAAATTATTCTATATATATATTGATATATATATCTCATCACGTACACCAAAAAATATATATATTTATGGAGAAAAGAGTGAGATGAAGAGTTTTGGGGGGTGACAGAGTAATACATGAGGGCAATTTGGTTATTTCATGCTTTTGATATTTTGGATTAAAATAGATTAAAAAAATAGGGATAAAAATGTTATTTTGCACATTTTTAGACAAAATGATTTATTATATATTTTTTTTCGGTAATTAACTTTCGCAAATAATCAGCTGCTTGATTATTTGCGAAAGTTCGTGTTGTGTTTGTGCTTTTACTTGGATTTCCAACACAAGATCATCGGTTTTTTTTTCCCGATAAGTAACACAAGATTATCATTCTTTGTATAATATTAATGTATTATGTCTTTCATTCCCATAAATTATGAAATACATCTATTTCATTCTTAAGTAAAATTTATTCAAAGGTTAGAACATGCCAACTATAATGAAAAAATAAAAAATATGCTTAACTGGTAATTCAAATGCTAGAAATTCCAGTTATTGCATAAAAAATAAAATACTACCAGTACTTACCTGGTAATAGTAATACCCCTTCTTGATCTCCTCCTAGTTCTCTCTTTGGACTCTTACCTTCCATTTAGGGTGAAGAGAATTAAGTTCGATCTTCAATCTCTCTCTCTCTCCTCTTTTCTTTTACAATGTGTTTTTAGTACTACATGAAAGACTTTCATCTCAAACTGTGCCCAACATATATACATATATATATATACAATGTGTCTTAACTTCCAATAAAGGACGTTTATATATGCCACACATCAAATGGTCCCAATTGTGCTCTCAAAACTTTCATCTCAAACTGTGCCCAACATATATATACATATATATATATACACACACACATAGGTATATATATAACATATATGTATGATGTCCTAGAAGAGATGTGTGACAGATAGCAGCCTTAGGATTTGTTTGAATTTGATGTTCTTCATGTTTAAATTAATTTGTTCAGCAAAGTATATATGCTTGATAAAAGATTCTTTAGAGTCAGTTCTTTCCTTTTTCAAAAGTATATATATATGCTTTTCTTCTTCTTTTTCTTCAATACTTTTGGTATTAGTATTGCTTAGACTTGTTGATCGGGTTTCAACAAGAACTCTTGCTGAACAAATATAGAATCTCTCTTTCAAAGTGTTTAAAAGTACGAAGACATGCACGTCAATGAATAAATGACTTTTATATTTATCTTTTTTCAAAATTACTCTCACAATCTACAATTTTTATATAAAAATTAAATATTACACAACTTATGAAGGAAGACTTATTTGGCTGTTTAACCTGAAATGAAGTGCGAAGTTGTACCATTTTATTCGGCTCCCATGGTAGAGTAATTATTTATAAATAAAAAATCAGTTTCATTACATGATGAAAAGTGAAACAGAAACGAAACTTAGAAAGAAAAAAAAAAAACGAAAAAGAAAAAAAGTGTGTAGCCAGGCCATCACATATATCAATCCATTATATTTTTGGGCCATCTATATACATATGTGTGTGTGTGTGTGTGTGAAAATTAAACAGTACAAACAAGTATGACTGAATACTTGCGGAAAAAAAAAAAAGTATGATTGAATGAGCTGAGTCATGAGAACTGATATAAAGAAAATGAATAAACAAATAATAATGACCTTGATCTGTTTTGAAGGAAGATTTTAACAAGTTTATACTAGTGCAAAGTTTGTCCATTATGAATCCAGTAAGGAACTTATAACAAGTGAACTTGGTTTACACTTTACACTGCCCAAGCATTACATAATAAAAGATCCGGAATAAAAAGTTTATAATAATAAATCATTTTAACCATCAGAGGCTTCAGAGCCTATGAGAAAAGTGAAAGTGTGAAACAGTTAGGAAAAGAGAAGAAAATCTGAGCAATAGAAAATAAATAATGAGATCTTGGCTCACACTAATAGGGAAAATAAATAGAGTACCTCAATCTGACAACAATAGTAGGATCTTGGCTTGAGTCGCTTGACAGTGGGACCTTTGCTCACAAATAATTCATTGGTTCACCTGTTCAAGCCTCAAACCCAAAACTGAAACTTCTTAAGAAATTTAAAAAATTGGTTTTTAAAATAAATATAATTGTAACTAAACTTAAAAAATTGGTTTATAAAACAAATATTATTGTAATTGTACACCCTTTCTCAATGAAGTAAAAAATTAATTATAAATTTATTCAAGAGTTGATTTAAATATTTTGTAATTGTAAACTTGTTCAAAAATTGATTTATAATCTAATTTATAAATATATATACATTTAAGTTTAGTTAATTAATGAATATTGCATTTGGGGTTTAAATAATAATTAATTTAATTTAAATCCAATTCAAAAAATCAATTCAAGATGACTTTATTACAAAAGTAATAATAATAATAATAATAATAAACATTTTATCAAGAGTAAATAAAATGTTATCTTTATCATTATTTAGTGCAAAAAATCCCTGTTATCTCGAGAATGTGCAAAATATTCAATAAAACTCCTTAAATTTTCAAATTGAGCAAATAAGAACAATGTATCAATTATTTTTGAGTAATTAACTGAGAATAATATATAAAAAAATATGGTGTTAGAATGTACAAGTATGTAGATGTCTCAATAGTTCAGTGGGTTAGTTACTCCGGTGAATTTTAGAGTGTCGAATTTTAACTTTCTGTATCTACTAATCTAACTTCTAACTCTTCTTGTGATGTAAAAATATAAAAAATAAATAAATAAATAATGTACAAGTATAAGTGGTGCATTCCCCATTTGAGCAGAATGGGCCAGAAGTCCATCATTTGTTCAGTACTAATAAAATCCACAGCAATGCTAATTGTAATCATCACTTATCAGTACTAATAATGGGTACTACTAGAAGACTTTTATCACTAGGAAGAATTCAGTCAATCACCACTACTTCTCTTGTTTCTTTTCCTTTGAAGACATAACAGAACACCTTTCATTGAAGTTCTTAAACGCAGACAACATTTCAAATTCTGCTTCAATAATTATGGTATCATTGACTAGGAAGCCCTTTGATTTGTCACAAAGATCACTTAGAGACATGAAGCTTGAGTATCCCCAGTTCCTACTCGTGGCACAGAACCAGAAACTAACTGCAAAGATAAATTTTGAAGGAAAATTAACAAATAAAATAAAATAATAACAATAAAAAGAAGAGACAAAGTAGAAAAGATTAATCAGCCTCTCGACAAAAGAAAAAATCTCCAGCCGCAAGCATGTTTATCCAAAGCAGCTATAAGTAGAAATGCAATTCTTACTTTCCCTTTCTCGGTGTTTATCACCGACTTGGTCCTTATCTGTTGGGAAATGTGCAAGTTTTAAAAAAATTTCGAGGAATTTTGATTCATAGATTTTGATTCATCACATAGAGACAAGTTTTATGCAAAAATAAAAATATAATGTATCATTCAATTAATGGATTGAATACTTACATCAAAGGTCTGAGTAAACCTTTAAATCTTTCCTCTAAAGTGAATGTTCTCACTTATTCTAAATCCCTTAGCAAGATACCTTCTCCTTGGATCTCCATATTCTTGATAATTGTTTTGCCTTTAGGAATCACTCATAAGCCTCCATAAATGACATTGGAAAACTAGGCTTGTGGTAGCCTCTATTAGATGAGAACATAACCTTAATTTTCTAGAGAGAGAAAATATATATTTTTTTCCTTCTACTAAAAATCACATCTAAAATATACATAAACCATGTATATTTATAGGTAACATAAAGATAAAGAAAAGGAAATAACAAATCCTTCTCAATCTCTAATTCACATGTCTCAAATCTAATATGATTCCAATATCAAGTTGGGCTATGAGTGAGAATCCATTGGACCTATTATTTTATTGGCTACAATGAATTAATAATTGGCCCGATCCATGGACCCAATTCAATTAATTCATAAATTAATTTTTACTCCACTAAAAGAAATTAATTGAACTCCAATTAAATAATAAATAACCTCTAAGTTAATATTGCACTTTGACCCCTCTATGCATAATTAGTTATCAGATAAATAAAGCCATCAATCCGACTACTTAATTAATATATTTATTTTGATACCTTTGATTATTTCTGACTCGATCACAATAAAACATTTGTATGACAAAAATAATAATTTAAATAAATAAATATATAATAACTCATTTTGTCTAAAAACACACGAAGGCCTTTGAATTTACTTTGTGATCAACCATAATCAATACAAAATAAATACAAGTAACAATGATGCAAATATTGAAAATATAACCCTCTAACTATTAATTACATAATTACCCAAAGTCCCGGTCTAAAGATTCCGAAGTATCCGCCGAACAAATCAAAGTAATTATTAACTAATAAAAGAGTCTATAATTTTCTCATTCTTAAGAGTCAAATGCCATGACGGTGATAGCGAGCAATTGCATACGACGGCTCTCGCAATATATCTCAACCTAGCTCAGATTCAGTATAAGTCTTAATTAATTATGAGTCCATCTATAATTACCGACTATGAACAATTTATGATTACTATTTATAATCATGTATTGATCGCCATCACATACATATATAAATATCTCTTGTAATCAAGTGGACACTTTCAATTCTATAATGAATCGAAACATAATACATTGAATTCACCAATTGTATAAAGTATAAATATTTCAGAAACGTTAGGAACTTATGTTACTTTAATCCAAATAGGAATTTGCTATGCCAGGGCATATAAATCCGAACAGTCTGTTGGGAAACGTGCAAGTTTTAAAAACTTTTCGAGGGATTTTCTTTCACAGATCTTGATTCATCACATAGAAACAAATTTTATGCAAAAATAAAATATGATGTATCATTCAATTAATGAATTGAATACTTATATCAAAGGTCTGAATAAACCTTTAAATCTTTCCTCTAAAGTGAATGTTCTCACTTATTGTAAATCCCTTAACAAGATGCCTTCTTCTTGGATCTCCATCTTCTTGGTAATTGTTTTGCCTTTAGGAATCACTCATAAGCCTCCATGAATGACCTTGGAAAACTAGGCTTGTGGGAGCCTCCATTAGATGAGAACATAAACCCTAATTTTCTAGAGAGAGAAAATATATTCCTTTTTCTTTCTTCCAAAAATCACCCCTAAAATATACATAGACCATGTATATTTATAGGCAACATAAAAATAAAGAAAAGGAAACAACAAATCCTTCTCAATCTCTAATTCATATGTCTCAAATATAATATGATTCCAATATCAAGTTGGGCTATGAGTGAGAATTCATTGGGCCTATTATTTTATTGGCTACAATGAATTACTAATTGGCCTGGTTCATGGACCCAATTCAATTAATTCATAAAATAATTTCTACTACACTAAAAGAAATTAATTGAACTCCAATTAAATAATAAATAGCCTCTAAGTCAATATTGCACTTTGACCCCTCTATGCATAATTAGTTATCGGATAAATAAAGCCATCAATCCGACTACTTAATTAATATATTTATTTTGGTACCATTGATTATTTCTGGCTCGATCACAATAAAACATCTGTTTGACAAAAATAATAATTTAATAAATAAATATA